TATGTCATTTCTTTTTTAAAATTTTTTATTTATATATGAGTGTTTTGCATATATGTCTGTGTGTGTATGTGTGTGTGTGTGTGTGTTTGTGTGTGTGTGTGTGCACCACACACATGCAAGTCCCATGGAGCCAGAAGAGGGCATTGGATCTCCTAGACTGGAGTTACAAAGGGTTGTCAGTCACCATGTGGGTGCTGGAAACCAAACCTGGAGTAGCAATCAGTACTCTGAACCACTGAGCCATCTCTCCAGCCCAAGTGTGTCATTCCAAAAACATGGGACCCCAGTTCTTTTGGGGGGCAGTTCTTGAACCAAGAAGAAGAGTTACTTCCTTATAGGTTTTGGATTTATCCAGCCAGATGCCTGAGGTCATAGCTCCAAACATCCCTGCAATGACGATGGTCAGGCCAGTTCTTCCAGCATTCACTTCTTCCCCCTGGGGAAACCAAAAGGATTGCCCACTGGGATCAGTTATGACCAGTATTTAGAAAAATCTAGAGTGAGATGGCCCAATAAGACAAAAATCCTAGAAGAGTTGCTCTTCCCAATCACCTCATCTGTGCATTCATGACATTGCATGCTCGGGTGACATGATGAATCAAATTCTGTTTTTATAGCCACTTTCAAGGAGATTTTTAAAAAATTAATGCTTTTAGTAGTTCATATGTATCATTTCCATTTCATAGATGGGAAAATCAGCTGAAATGCACATATTTCATTCTTTGATGGTTTTAGCTATCACTGCCAAAAGAATGGGAAGTTAATAGCTATGTGTTTCGAACACTTACTGAAACAGCACTGTACCTGGCTCCTACTGACATCATTGTTTAATTCTCATAATTCCCCACCAGAAGGCCAAGAGTCAGTCTGTCCCTGTTTGATGATGATGGAACTAAGACACAGTGAGATTAAACTGTTATTTCAAGGTCCTAGGCATATATTAAATACAGAGCTAGGATGTGAACTTAGAATTACCAAATTCTGGAAACTGGAGCATTTAGCCACAATGGACTTTCACCCCTACAAGTATGAGATCCACTTGCAAAAGGGGATTGGACCTTGGCTTTACTGACTCCATGACACTTAGTATCACTTTCCCAATACGCAGCCTTACTGGTTCTGGCTCTGGAAACATTTTTTTAAAATGCTTTAGTTGAACATATAAGAGTTCAGAATTA